GTAACTTAACTCCCAAATTGAAGTTCAAACTCTTACCTACTATCTTCAATGAGGCTAGGTTTAGCAATTTCTTAAGCCTAGCTTCCAAATTCTTCAATCCTCTCAGCTAATTCCTCAAGATTGAGCTTCTCTCTCTTTAAGATAAAGATTTCTCTCTTTATATACCTTAATCTTAGGAAAATGGTGAAGATGAGCTCAAAATTATGAGCATAAGCACTAACTCAACATATATATAGTAGGTGATTAGCTTAAGCTAATTAAGCATGATAGGGCTGGGCGTAGGGTTATCCGAACCACCCAAACCGCCCTACCCGATCCGAACTGCACATGTATGGGCAGTTTCACAAACACATTAGGATAGGGTGCGGTTTGGATTTTATCTAATTTTTGAGTTGCGGGCGGGTTGCGAGTTTGAACTGCACCCGCCCAACCCGCCCGCATAAACCTCTCTTTTTTTTTTTCTTTTTTTTCTTTCTTCAAATCTGACTGTTCATCTCACTTCATTTATAGACTATAACAAACAAACAAACAAAAACCTAATCTTAATCTATCTTTCAAACTCCAAAACACAAACTCACTCTCTCCTCTCATCAGTCTGTCTCTCACTCTCACTCTCGCGTTTTTCATCTACACTGCACCGATTGACTCTCTCTCATTGCAAGATCGACCGATCGATCTCACTCTCTCATTGCACCGATCGACCCCACAGGTATGCCCCTCTCTCAGTCTCTGCCTCTCTTTCTCTCTCTCTTTCTTTCTCCCCGATCTTTGATTTTTTTTTCAACATATCAAATCTCTCTCTCCCTGATCTGTCTCTCTCACTCTCTCATCTCATCAGTCTCTCACTCGCTGGTTTTGCATCTGCACCGATCGACTCTCTCTCATCGCAAGATCGACCGATCGACTTCACTCTCTCATCGCACCGATCGACCTCACAGATAAGTCTTTCTCTATGTCTCTCTCTCCTCGATCTTTATTTTTTTATTTTTTAACTCCCAAATTGAAGTTCAAACTCTTACCTACTATCTTCAATGAGGCTAGGTTTAGCAATTTCTTAAGCCTAGCTTCCAAATTCTTCAATCCTCTAAGCTAATTCCTCAAGATTGAGCTTCTCTCTCTTTAAGATAAAGATTTCTCTCTTTATATAGCTTAATCTTCGGAAAATGATGAAGATGAGCTCAAAATTATGAGCCTAAGCACTAACTCAACATATATATAGTAGATGATTAGCTTAAGCTAATTAAGCATGATAGGGCTGGGCGTAGGGTTATCTGAACCACCCAAACCGCCCTACCTGATCCGAACCGCACATGTATGGGCAGTTTCACAAACACATTAGGATAGGGTGCGGTTTGGATTTTATCTAATTTTCGAGTTGCGAGCGGGTTGCGAGTTTGAACTGCACCCGCCCAACCCGCCCGCATAAACCTCTTTTTTTTTTCTTTTTTTCTTTTTTTCTTTTTTTCTTTTTTTCTTTTTTTCTTTCTTCAAATCTGACTGTTCATCTCACTTCATCTATAGACTATAACAAACAAACAAACAAACAAACAAAAACCTAATCTTAATCTATCTTTCAAACTCCAAAACACAAACTCACTCTCTTCTCTCATCAATCTGTCTCTCAGTCTCGCGTTTTTCATCTGCACTGCACCGATTGACTCTCTCTCATTACAAGATCGACCGATCGATCTCACTCTCTCATTGCACCGATCGACCCCACAGGTATGCCCCTCTCTCAGTCTCTACCTCTCTCTCTCTCTTTCTCCCCGATCTTTGATTTTTTTTTCAACATATCAAATCTCTCTCTCCCTGATCTGTCTCTCTCACTCTCTCATCTCATCAGTCTCTCACTCGCTGGTTTTGCATCTGCACCGATCGACTCTCTCTCATCGCAAGATCGACCGATCGACTTCACTCTCTCATCGCACCGATCGACCTCACAGATAAGTCTTTCTCTATGTCTCTCTCTCCTCGATCTTTATTTTTTTATTTTATTTTTTTTGCAACATATCAGACCTCTCTCTCTTTGATCTATCTCCCTCACTTTCTCACCTCATCAGATCTGTTTATTTTATGCAATCAGATCTCTTAATTTTTATTTTTATTTTTTTGTAGCAACAGATCTGTATGTGAAAAGTGAAAATTGAATGTGTGTGTTTGTTTGGAATTAAATCTGTTTTTTTTTTTTTTGTAGCAACAGATCTGTGAAAAAGTGGAAATTGAATCTGTGTTAATGCAAATAGATCTATCTCTGTTATTTTATTTTATTTTTGGGAATTGAATCTATGTTTTTGGAATTAAATCTGTGGTATTGGAATTAAATCTATTGTTAAATCTATGAGAAGTGGAAATTGAATCTGTGTTTGTTTGGAATTAAATCTTTTTTTATTTTTTATTTTTGTAACAGTATATCTATAAGAAGTGGAAATTGAATCTGTGTATATGCAAATAGATCTCTCTCTCTCTGTTTTTTTTTTTTTTAATTGAATCTGTGCATTTGGAATTGAATCTGTGCTTTTGCAATGCTTCAACAAATTTGTGAGAAGTGGAAATTGAATCTGTTATTGAAATTGGAATTGAATCTGTTATTAAAATTAAAATTGAATCTGTGATTGTGTTAAATCCGTATTGAATCTGTATAGAATTGAATCTGTACTGAATCTGTTATTAAAATTAAAATTGAATCTGTGACTGTATTGAATCTGTTGTGTTTTTTATTTTACAAGTTTTTATAAGTTATAATTCATTAATTATTAATGTCGGAGCATTTTAAAAAATAAGAGGAAAAGGGTCCAAAATAAATATTGACAAAATGGGTGGAAAAAAAGGTTTAGAAATAAATTTTTGAAAAAAAGTCCAATACGCAAACTGCCCACAACCGCCCGCACATCTGCGAACCTTATCCACACAAACCGCAAATTGCAATGTGGGTGGTTGAGGGTTGACTTTTTCCCAAACCGTATAGATGCGGGCGGGTCCAAACCGAACCGCAAACTATCCCAAACCGAACCCCGGACACCCCTAAAGCATGATTAAGACTAATCAACCTTACTTAATTTAATTCAATTTAATCTAATTAATTTGATCCGAATCAATTTTTAATTAAATTTCACCGTAGGCTCTAAAATTTACGCCGATGACAATAAATTAATCAATTTTGGTTTCTGACGCCTCTATAGCCCTCAATTTCGAATTATAGCATAAATTATAATAAATATGTCTATAATCAACAGATAGGCATTCAAAAATCACATGAACGCATAATTAACATCAAATTTCATGCCAAGCACATTAACACTCATATACTTAATGAATTAACAGTATAATACCGAACAGGGTTGTCACAGTTTCAGTATTTCGATCTTCTGATTGAAACATGAAACTGTGGGTACATAAGCACACTTTCGTAACTGGCACATCAGCCCAATTTTGTGCATCGCATTCACATATTTCTTGCGGTCTCTGAGGTTCATTTGCATGTGTAACAAGCAAAATGCATGGTGTGCCAAGGGAAACACAGCTGGCATTGATTGTAGCAGCCCATGGTTACGGTCGGACAAAAATGTCAATGTCCTACCGCCCTCGGCAACTTCCGACAACTGTCGCAAAAACCACTCCCAATTACTTGCATTTTCATAATCAACTATAGCAAAAGCAACCGGAAACAAAACTGCATAAAATTCACGTGCACGAGTACATCAGGCCCCACCATGTTAATTTATACACCAGAATGGAACATAAGGTGAAACACAACATTAATTCCATTTTTGTGCTATGTGTGGAGTGAACCGATATGTTGAGATTGAAAAAATCAATGCAACAACACTACGAAATTGGATAAAACACACACCTTGGTTGCCATCCTTAACGGTTGCCGCAAGCAAATTGCCCTTGAACTTACCCTTCAAGAACATTCCATCTAGAAACAAAAGTGGCGATAGTGCTTGAACCCATCTATGCATGCACGAAACGAAATAAAATACCTAACAAACCTACCAGTTTGTTGATCAAAATCCAAATTTATGTAACTATGTGGGTTGTTCTCTATGACCGCGTTGCTATACCACCTTAGTTAGTCGAACAACATGGCGTGATCCCCATATACTTCATCCCTCGCTTTCTCCACCCCCAACCAAGCAACTTGATAACTCATGTCCAGTCCACGTTCGTTTTTCATACCAAACACCACATCCATTGGGCGTGTAAAGGGCTACTCACGAACACGGTCTGCAATAACGTCAGTCACCAATTCAGACCCTGTCTGTGGGTTCCTATATGTCTGCACGGCATCACCGCATGAATGCAAGCTATTAAACCTTTTCACACACAACATCTCGTTCGACGATAATACCCTTGCGTAAACCAACCACGCACAACTAGCTGACACGGTGAACTTACACACTGCTGTAACTCGTACAACATCATTCTTTATGTATTTAAACTAAAACTCACATTCAACAGCGTACTTACAAAGAACTGTTCGAAATTCATGGGCCCTGCCCCAAAACGATTGACCAACATGTGTAATACCAAAAAGGTCTTGGATTTATACGAACAATATAACGGCAACAAATCGGCCTAGTCTAGATGAAAAAATCAAAAACTAATTTTGAAAAGTTGATAACCAAAGTTAACAATGGTGGCCTGAAGCTGGTCAAAACTGGCATGCTTATTGCAAATAGAAAATGCCAAATACTAGTTGAAAGAAAGGATTGAAAATGAGAGCTGACAGCAAATTATAAGCCCCACTTACCAATAAATAAATAAATAAAAGAAAAAGCAAATTATAAACCTTACCCACAAAAGAAAAAAAAGAAAGTTTGGGCACATGCAATAGCAATTTCCTTTATTATAATAATAATAAGGGAAAATCGATCTAAGGTCCCTATCCAACTTTTAGTAATAGATTAGATCCACAATATATTCTTTTGTAGTCTAAGGTCCCTCACCCCCGTGCCCTTATATTACACCTGCACTCTCATAGCCAGAGAGGATAACCAAGTCAGGAACATAAAGGTCTGAATTTGATTCTCGTTGGTCGAAACCCCGAGAAACTCAAGGAGGTTTCGGAGTCGATCGGAGCCAAATTCGGGAAAACCCAGATCAAGACTGTGGTTGTTGATTTCTTTGGAGATTTGAACGAAGGGGTTAAACGGATTCGTGAAACCATTGAAGGTCTGGATGTTGGAGTTCTGATCAATAATGTTGGAGTTTCGTATCCTTATGCGAGGTTTTTCCATGAGGTGGACGAGCAATTGTTGGCTGATTTGATTAAAATCAATGTTGAAGGGACTACCAAGGTTACACAAGCGATTTTGCCTGAGATGATTAAGAGGAAAAGAGGTGCGATTGTTAATATTGGTTCCGGTGCCGCCATTGTTATCCTTTCTGATCCACTTTATGCTGTATACCTCGCTTCTATGTGCCTTTGACCAATCTGCTTTAGTCTTGGCTTCACATGCTTCCGTCTGTGCTTGGAGGGACCTAATGGGAACATTGTTCAACAGAGAAACACTTTCGATTGAAAAATTCAACTGAAAAAAAACGAAGAACAGATTTGGGTAAGTTGCAGAATTTTTTCCAGATATTACAAACCAGAGAAATTCTCAATTGTTATTTTTAATAAACCAGAGAAATTCTCAATTGTTATTTTTAATAAACCAGAGAAATTCTCAATTGATATTTCAATAACAAACCAGAGAAATTCTCAGATTTTTCCAGAATTTCTCTGGTTCTGGTAAGTTGCCATTGTTATCCCTTCTAATGTTGCTTACATATTACAATGTTGAATTTTTCCAGTTGAATTCAGTTGAACAATGTTGCTTACCAAATGAATCACAATGATTTGGGTAAGTTGCTGAAATTTTTGTTAATTATGCTCATTCACAACTTTCAATGAAAAATATAAAACATTGTCTCAACCACTAGCCTTGTGCATCTGTAGTTCTCAATAAATTTGTTAGTCATGAGAGGAAAAAGGGTGTTTGAGATCAATCCTCAACACCCAATCCAGAGAATTTCTCTAGTTTCAATCCAGAGAAATTCTGAGAATAATTAGACTTTCCAGAGAAATTTGGTCTGAAATTTCTCTGAACCAATTTTCTCTGAACTGAAATTTCTCTGGATCAAGGTTGAGAGACCTTAGACATTATGAAAATATTGTTGTGAGACCTTAGATATTATGAAAATATTGAATGCCCTTTATGCTATACAACCTTAATATCAGGGACCTTAAAAAAAACCCTAATAATAATGAGTAAATTATCTCAGAATCCTTCAACAATTATACTTATCAATTTATTATTATGCCTGTAAACTAAATTTTTGTTAAAATTACCCAACCCCCCCCCCTCCCCGGGGTCAATTTAGCCTTTCTATTTAATTTTGTCAATTTTTTGGTAATTTAATACGTATATGATATGGGACCAATCTATAACATAAATTAATCATAAAATCCTTTTCCTATAATAATAATAAAATTTAAAAAAAAAAAAAGAAAACATCATTAATTGCTTTAGAAACTTGTGCAAAGAATGTTGGTTTTATGGTTTTGTTTTTGTTTTTTTTTTATTTTTATTTTTTTTTGGTTTTGATATTAAGAAAAAAAATTATGATTAATTATACCAATTTTTTCTTTTGTTGGTTTCATATAATATATTTAACTGCCAAAAGTGGAGAGATATAACGAAGTTGAATCAATTTGGAAGCTAGAAGATTTAAGTGAAAATTATCAATAAGTTGGATTTTTCTCTTAAATTATTATTGAGTTTTATCAATTTTCAATATGACAACTAAATCTTATTTTTCATAAAATATTTCCAGATGTGTTTATTGCTCAATAATAGTGTATGCTATTTGAATTTTACCACTCATTTAATATGAACAACTTCATAAATATGTTTAATCTAAGTAAAATTATATTTTTTAATTGTAAATATTATGATATTGTATTTAAAAAAATCTTAAACCACAATAGAACAATTACCAATAAGTTTTATTTTGTTTTAAAAATTACTATTGAGTTATACCCATAAGTCTCACTTTTTTTTTTATATAAATTGTTATCAAAAAAAGTTCAATTATTTTATTCTAATTTTATGTTTCTCATTAAAATATCAACAAAAATTTTCATAAATAATTTTAATTTATTTCAAATTTTACAACAAAAATATTTTTAATTGTTGAAATAAATGAATTTTCATAAACAAAAGACTGAGTATAAGATTCATCAATTATCTCATGCATTGAAAAATACATAAATTTTCCATAATATTATTTTTCATAGCTCTTTACAATTTTAATGGAATTTTGCCTTTTTAGATTTTTTTATACGAAGAAAAAATCATAATTTGAAATAACAAAAAAGAAAATACATTTTATACTATAATTGTTTCAATCCAATTGTTATTTATGTTTTCTTAATATGATATTAATAATGTATTCAATTAAAAATTTTAATTTTAATTAAGTTAAAATTGTTCAAAAAATTATTGTTTATATTAAATGAGAATGATAAAATTGGGATGAGATATATTATTATAAAAAGTAATGAACCCTTTAGAAACATTTTATGACAAATAGTATCTAGTTATTCATAATAAAACTTAATAAGACTCAACATAAATCTTGAGAATAAAATAAGATTATTTGTAATTCTTCCTAATTGTTTGATCAAAAATTTAGTTTAAGAGTTTAATAAAATAAAAAAAAATTTAAAAAAATTACTCAAAAATCTCATTTAGAGGAATGTTATTATGTTTAGTCCTAGAAGTTTTTTTCGAACATCAGATTAATGTTTCGAACATTAGATTTCGAACATCAGATTAATGTTTTGAACATTATATTTCGAACATCAGATTAATGTTTCGAACATTAGATTTCGAACATCAGATTAATGTTTTGAACATTATATTTCGAACATCAGATTAATGTTTCGAACATTAGATTGATGTGCAAATGGGACTAAATGGAGCATAAGAAAACTTTTAGGACTAAATGGTTCAACTTTTCAGAAAGTAGGACTTATGGGTAAATTTCCCCATTTTTAAACAACACATTTTATCTAAATTCAACTCACAGCATATCCCCAAGGTCAAGACACCCCAAATTATGTAGATAATTATTCAAAATAACTCTGATAATCATATTTATAAAAGTAAATAAAAGAGAGTTTTACAAACTAGTCAAAGCAAAGCCATTCACGATCAGAGGCGTGACCAAAAGCCGAACAGCAAGACCTACTAAAATTCCAACAATTACAAGATGTTATACAACATTTCCTGAGGGTCAGGTAAGAGATTCCATTGCATTCATTCTGCAAGAGAAGCCATCAAAGAAATCGAATCTCTCCACTTGGCGTGGCGAGTTAGGCCAACAAGTGCAGCTGTTTACACAAGCCAAATGTTTGATTTCACAGACCAATGTATATATGTATATCTGTTTCGGATTAACATAAATTTATAAGATCAAAAATGTAAAATTGAAATATCAAACATTCATACTAGAGAGGTTAATAGATAAGTTAAAAGGCTGACGTGAAAAAAAACTTGTAATTTATAAGTAAGCAACTGATTAAAATTCAAAGTAGATGAGATCCAAAGCAGAGATGTAAACCATTACCTTCTCTCAAATAATGTCTTGTGCAATCTTATTCAACGTGGAATTTCCAGCAGAAACTGATCCAGTGCAGATGTCATCGATTTCATGTATGAATATTTGAGGGGGCTCTTCTCTGTCATAGGCAAGGCATGCACTTTTAGTTCTTGTGGAATAATGGCTAATGTGTTAGGCTTGAGCACAAAAAAATTTATAAAAAAAAAACAAGCAAACAAACAAACTTCATGCATTCTATGATGAGGAACATGCATGGAGATTTAATTTATTTCATAATGTCACTTCTAATACTATGTTTACTTATAAATAATTAGGATATTAGGGATTTTTTAAGTTTCCAATAAATAAAGGACTAGTTTTCCTATTGTGATTAGGGTTTTTGACTTATAAATACTAGCATTTGCATTGTATTGTTAACTTCAGAATATTATTTTGTTTAAAGCTATGGTCGTTTGCGTTAAGGTTGTGGCCCTCTTCTTCTCCCCTTTTCTCTCTGCTTTTCCCTACGTCATACTACATCATTTGGTATCAGAGCCTAAGCTACGACTGCTGTTTTACTCATCTCTCCTCCTCCCTCAGAGCTAAATCATCCAAAATAAAAAAATCCAAAACCTTACCCTTTAGGAGTCGCCGGAACCCTAGATCAAGTGTTGATCACCTTCTCCCGCACTCATCGCCAGCCATCACAACTCCAACCTCTTTGTGTCACTGTCGCGACCCAGCTCTTTGCGTCACTTTTGCTTCATAATAATGTTGCTAGTCGAATCTTTGTGATCACCACACCATCAACAGATATCATCACTAAAGAAGACACACAACTCTTCCTTGACACGAGCTCACAGCGTCAATGCTGTGCATTGTTCAACCCAGGCCGACTCATCACCAGCGGTAGGTTTGCTCGATGCCTAAATCATGGAAGACAACGACTACTGTTTTGCTAGACTTGATTGCCAGACCCATTTTGAAAACCCAATACCCCAACCAAACCCTTGACCTAAGTCAGCGAAACGTGGAGTGAGAGCACGAGTGTGAGTCCATTCTTTGTTAAAATGCCTCAAGAGTGGGAGCGCCTCCAGAGTACTTAAATAAATTTGAACATGTTTATATCCATTTTCTACGAAAAACTATTTAAGTTTTTATGCACTAATATCTTTTGTAAAAGAAAACCGTAGTTGATCATAGAGGAGAAGAATGTATAAACCATATATAAATAAAAGAATTCCGAAAATACTAGAAAGTTCACTTGGTGGTTTATCGGTTGGGAGCCTGCTAGTGTTGGCTTCTCTTCCCTTCAGTCCCAAGTTCTCTATCTTTCATGACTGTCTTTTTCCCTACTCAAAAGGATGTGCAGGAATGTGCGCCTAAGACGCATGTTTTGTAAGCTTTCTGAAAGAACTCGTATATTCAAATTGTATTGTTTACAAAGAATGCATCAGTTATATAGCCCTAAACCTAAGCCTCAAAAGGAAACAAAATCAGTTACAACTACGATCATTCCTAATATACACCATATATACAATATACTGTCACACCCTTGCTCAAACTCAAGGTGCTTCATCTGCTCATAAAAAACGGTATTATGGGCAATTTGAATAGCACTTCAGTTGCCGCAGTAGAGAGAAGTCGAAGAGGACTAAGTAACGCCCAAATCAAACAAGAGACAACAAAAGCATACAATCTCAGCAGTGGCATCATCGACCATAACAAACCAAACCAAACCAAACCAAGCCTTGAGTCCCATCAAATGGGGTCGGCTACATGAATCCTTCTTCTCCACGCGGCCCTATCAAAAGCCATTTCGTTAGTCAAATTAAGTAGATCCATATCTCTATTTACAACGTTAGTCAACATTAATCTAGGCCTACCCCGTTCCCTAACACTCCCCTCTACCGTTACTGAAGCTTGAGTAACCAGCTTAGGGTATGATGAGATATCACCCCTTATTTATAAATGAAGATTAGGGTTTACAAGGAAGACAATTACAAGATAATCCCTGAGTGCATAAAAATGATTACAAACCCTAGTGACTTTCGGCTAATATAATATGCTAAGTGCCTTTCGGTGATTATAATATGCCAACACTCCCCCTCAAGCTGGTGCGAACATATCTCTCATGCCCAGCTTGCCTAATATGTCATGAAACGGTTTATTCCCAATTCCCTTGGTGAGAATGTCAGCAAGTTGTTCACCAAACTGAACAAAAGGAGTACAAATGGTACCACTAGTGAGTTTCTCCTTAATGAAGTGGCGATCAATCTCAACATGTTTTGTCCTGTCATGTTGAAATGGATTGTGAGCAATGTTGATGGCGGCCTTATTATCACAGTATAACCGCATGGAGTCCGTCTGAGCAATACCTAGATCACTCAACAATAATTTGATCCATAAAAGTTCACACACACCTTGTGCCATAGCTCTAAACTCAGCTTCTGCACTTGACCTGGCAACCACATTCTGTTTCTTACTCCTCCAAGTAACTAGGTTGCCTCCGACAAATGTGCAATACCCTGAAGTTGATCTCCTATCAGTTACTGACCCAGCCCAGTCAGCATCTGTATAGGCTTCTACACGAAGATGATCATACTTTGAAAAATACAGACCCTTACCAGGAGCAGACTTCAAATACCTCAAGATTCTCATGACGGCCTCAAAGTGAATCTGATGAGGAGCATGCATAAACTGACTAACTACACTGACAGCAACAGCAATATCAGGACGGGAGTGAGATAGGTAAATGAGCTTACCCACTAAACATTGATAGCTCCCCCTATCCACAACTTCTCCTCTTTCATCATCCCCCAATTTCTGATTGGGTTCCAGTGGGGTGGCACATGCCTTGCAGCCAAGCATCCCAGTTTCCTTCAACAGGTCAAGCACATATTTTCTCTGTGAGATAAATATCCCATCCTTAGAGCAAGCAACTTCAATTCCCAGAAAATACTTCAAGCTTCCCAAGTCTTTGATTTCAAATTCTTTGGCTAAGTATTTCTTCAACAGAGGTATTTCCTCACTATCATTGCCTGTAAGAACTATGTCATCTACATAAACAATAAGCGCTGTAGTCTGACCGCATGAGGAATGTTTCACAAACAATGTGTGATCTGCCTGACTTTGTTTGAAGCCATATTTAAACATAGCCTGAGTGAATCTCTCAAACCAAACCCTTGGAGACTGTTTGAGACCATATAATGACTTCCGAAGTTTGCATACTTTGCCTTCTGTTTGATGATCCTCAAAACCCGGAGGAATGTCCATATATACTTCTTCTTCGAGGTCACCATGGAGAAAAGCATTCTTGACATCAAACTGATAAAGCGGCCAATCTAGATTAGCTGCTAGAGAGAGAAGTACTATGACTGAATTCATTTTAGCCACGGGTGCGAAGGTCTCCTGATAATCAATGCCATATGTCTGAGTAAACCCTTTTGCCACAAGTCTTGCCTTGTAACGCTCAATAGACCCATCTGCTTTGTGTTTCACAGTATATACCCATTTACATCCCACAGGTCGTTTGCCCGGAGGTAACTCAGTCAATTCCCAAGTGCCATTCTTCCTAAGTGCTTTCATTTCCTCAATCATGGCTAGTTTCCACTCAGAGATAGCAAGAGCATCCTGAAAATGGTTAGGAATGCTAACAGAGGAAATATTGGACACAAACGCTCTATATGAGGATGACAAATGAGAGTATGATACAAACTGTGAGATAGGATGTTGAGTACAAGATCTCACACCCTTCCTCTTGGCAATAGGAACATCAAGATCAATGGACTCAAGAGATTCAAAGTTACCCAGACTCTCATCAGAAGCAGGAGATGACAGTGGAGTAGCAGAAACGGCCCCGTGTATCCAGTTAACTGGTTTTCTATCTATGTCCCGGACATAAACATGCCCATCCTTATTCTTGGTGACAGTGGGTTCGATAGTCCCAGTAGAAGACTCATAGGGTAGCTCCCTAGGAGGAGGTTAGTGTGCGAATGGCTGCTGGGGCTAACCTGGCACCACCTCAGGAGGGACCTGTATTAGTCGATATGGCTACCGATTGAAATATTGTTCATGAGGTAGCCCACGCTGCCATATAGTACCACCACCAACACGTGCCACCACCTCCACCTCTTGCACCAGTACATGTGCCACCACCGCCAGCACTTGTTCATGTCAATCACCGAGCCATCGAGCAGGCACATGCCGAGCAGCTCAGATCTTTCTTAAGGGTTGCACCACTGCTCTATGGCAGGGGGACTAACCCACTAGTTGCAGAGTCTTGGTTTATAGACATCAACTGTATTCTAGATGCATTAATGATCACAGATGGGGCAGACTAGGTACGTCTTGCATCATTCAGGCTTTCGGGTGCTGCACTCTTGTGGTGGGAGTCAGTGACTTGGAATCGTCCAGTAGCTACCATTACTTAGGCTAATTTTGGCTAGCTATTTGATGAGCAGTTCTCTCTGTTGGTCATTAGAGATTAGTAGCGAGAGGAGTTCTTATAGCTGTGTCAAGGCATCATGTGTGTCAGGGATTATTAGGCTCTCTTTTCAGCTTTGAGCCGCTTCGCTCCGCAGTTGATTCTGACTGTCACGGACCGCATCCACATGTTTCTCTGGGGTCTCTGGGGAAATTTATAGGTGGGTTTGGCCACCGCTACTTTGACCACTTTTCAAGCTGCTCGTAATGATGCTCTCAAGTTAGAGAGGGCTATTCAGTTGATGGGCCTAAGGGCAGAGCTGGGTAGATTTTCAGAGACTCTCATTTCCACATTCTGGTGGAAAAAAGAAT